GTACATATTGAATTACTATATAAAATGCCATGTATAACAAATTATTAAAATTATTAAAAACTCAAGGTTCTCAAAAAATGTACTTTGAGCATATGTATCGATTTTGATTGAACCTCAAAATTCAGTATGGTATGATCATAACGTTATGAATACCTTATAATAGTAATAGAAATAATCCATTAGTTTTGAGGTAGTGCCGTTGGTTTGACGGGTTATTGAATAGTAAAATAGTTTTTTTTGACGGAACAAATAAATTTTTTTAGGGTTAATTATCACTCTACTGACATATACATGTAAGCTCATCAACAATCAATTGTTAAAATAAATAAATGACTGGCCTATCAAATAAGAATGCAGATAATAAATTCTATTGTGCTCAGAAATACAATTCAGAAGAGAATTCTTTTTTATAGAAAACCAAAGGTAGAATTTCAACAAACTAATTTGAAAATGAATGAACAAAGTAACGATTTCAAAATTCAATTAAAGACAATGCGGGTAAGTACTATCAGAATGAGAGCTATTCCAGTTATTTTCAAACTTTGTTTTAGTACACGATAACTATATACCCGTTTTTTTTGCTAGAAATCCTCTCTCATATATATATATTTATATACATCTACGATCACGTACATATAAAAAATGACCTCTCCAGTAGAAAGCAGAAAGGCGAAAAGAAAAGTTATGATTTAAGAAAAGGTAGCTGTGAGTAAATTTTATTAGAGCATGGTTGTTTCGAGAGTTGTTCTGGTTATTTGTGAACTTGTATGCCTGCTGATCTATAAAAATAAAAAATAGAATGGTCATGTTGCTGAAGAAGGAAATTTCAACAATGATATGGATTGTGGATCAATGGTTAATGGGAATTTCTTCAAAAAAATGAAAAAAAAATTTACGACAACTCTCAAGTTGATTGATATATGGCAGGTACATCTTTCTAACCAAACAAGTTGAAAACAGGATATAATAGGAGAAAGTTGATTAGGTATTGTTCCCGAATTATAAGAGGCACTTTAGATAAAATCAAACTAATGTATGGCGATGCAATTAATGAAGATGTATTGGAAAAACTGCCACGAATCTGCATGCTATTATATTATAAATAATAATTTAAGATATTTCATGCATTTAATTTTGCAATCCATAAACACACTATAATAAACAGGAACTAATTGGAATTTATATTACTGTGATAAATCTAAATATAACTTTGGAGTTTTCTCGATTTATTTTCGCCTTCATTACAACTTACGAAGTTTTGGGGTGTCAGATATAAACATAGGGGAAATCAAATAATAAAATCAATTAGTAGGATCAAATGGTTTTTAATAATTGAAAAACGTTTATAACTTTGGAAGTAAATTAACTAAAAAAAATGTTTTTGATTCCTAGGAACCTTATCTATAATGTAGTAATACTATTTTTTTTGTTTTGCAAGCTCAATGCATTTTTCGGAATTAATGCGTAAACTGGTCAGTAGAATGATAATTGACCCTAAAAAAATTTATTTACTCCGCTAAAAAAACTATTTTACTATTATTCAACAGCCCGTCGAACCAATCAAAACTAATGGATTTTGCTAGTATAAAGTATTCATAGCGTTAAGATCTATATGGTATCTTCTGCTGCTATTAGCTTCGCATCTAGAGTTATTAGTCGGAATATTTCGTCATTCGACATTTAGGCTGTCGAAAGTCTAAAGTCTAAATGTTCTAGTCAATTTTGATAATCAGGACTTAAATCATCATTAGAGACTTCGGGTCTTGGTTCAGGAGGGTGATGATTTCAGTGATAGTTTGGGTTTGGAAATTTTTCAATGTTAATTGTGAAAATAATTTGTTGGTTAATAATAATGTCGAAATGCCTAAACGATGTCGAATTGCCTAATTGATATTAAAATATTTGAATAAAATTATATTATTATTTGTATTGTTATATTGTAACAATTCTGAGAATTATCCCAAGAAATAAAAGCAATCGACATTTTCAACGTATCAAAAAAATCATATAAGTTTTAAGATAAATAATTGGTTGAGAGTAGCTCAATCATTAATATTAATAAACCTAAAATATCATTGATGAAGAGTAAAAAGTTGAAAATAGTCAGTATTATTTAACTCAATCTTTTAAATATTTTTGGCTGTATTAATATTTAGACATTTCAACTGATTTGATATTTAAGAGATTCGACAAATATTTAGACATTTCGACTAACAACCTTAATTCTCAGTGTCACTTACCAATTTAGGAAAATGACTAATTTATTATTTATGTTTATTTGATTCTGCCAAACAAACCTGATAGATGGTGGATCATATTTACTTTTTCAATTTTCAACAAATTTGAAAAAAGGGACAATAACTTGTGGAGTTTTCACTTTTTTATATATATATATATTTGCCTTTAAGACATAAAAGTATTTTCTAATCGAAAATCTCAAATATACCCTGTCATGAAACAGTGCACAACCATTCACGTCATATTTATATTTGACTATTGAAACTTTACCAAATAAAATAATCATATAATTGAAAATTACATGTTGAAATTGTCACTTGGATGAACAATCTATTATTAACAATATTGTTGGCAAAATTTTACAGCGATGAAATTTATATAGTACATAGGGTTACATGTATATATATACATACACAAAGAAAAGCCGTTATGATTGTTCTACAGAATATGAAAAGGCGTTAAAGTAGGTTGTGTTAGTGGTTGTTCATCGATGGTTCCTAAAAAAGAGTTTGCAGAATTGCATGAAGCCATTCAAGCACTTTCTAAATCAGAGCAGGACATTATCTTTCATGGCAATGGATAGCGGGACAATAACTTCTAGCTGACGCCTTAAAAAGAAAACTTAATCCAATAAAAGAACCTTCTGCTGCTGAAATAACATGTCTGGATTGGACGTACTTATTTTGAAAATATAAGAAAACATTCAATGAACAATGATTTTATTGCAGTATATCAAGAATTCATGGTAAAAACACACTTGTGAAAAACAATTGACAAGGATATTGTTGAAACTATGAAGAAATTTCTTGGGTAAAGTTCATGGATTACCAAGCCCAGGGGTAAATGTAATAGAGTAACCCAATCACCTACATTCTTACAAAAATGAGTTTTAATCGATGCACAGAGATTTTCTTGCAGGTCGAAGGAAGAAAGACCCAATCACTCACATTTTTACAAAAACGAGTTACAAATCAATGCACACAGATATTTTCTTGCAGGTCTGACTGAAAGAAGAAGGAAATTTGAAATTATTAATGAAAGTATGATGTCTTTCGTAAAAGTGGCTGAGCCTGCATTCAAGAGCTGTATATATATATCCATCCGCATTAGATTATTGACTATCTCGAAAACTGTGCATCAAAAAAATTTTATTTTATTGTTCTTTCAGTAAAAATTAATCCATACAAAAAATTTTATTTCAGGATCTATTGAATTGAATTGAATTGAATTGAATTGAATGTTCTTCTATAGCACTGACTTCCCAGTTTTATTATTATATAATATTAAAACTCCACAGCACACATGCAATAATTGATTAACAAATAAGCAATAATCTAAAAGAGCGAGACAATTAATAAACAACAACGCGTTGACGATCATGAGACTTTGGTCAGTTAACAAAATAATTAAATATTGAAAGAAAGATATATATATATATATATATATATATATAAACATCTCCATTAAACTAATCACATAGTATAATTAATAATTTAATATGACGATAACATAAAAATAAAATATTAATTTTTATGATAATAAAACATATATTCTATTATTTTTATTTAATTTGTTCAATATGGAAATATGGAAGGGTAAATAATATTAATATTTCATTTCCACAACCAAATCTCGAATACTGTTTGTTTATCCAGTTTCCCAACTCTATGCCGCGCGTTCATACAAATAAATCCCAAATTAAGAAAATGTTTTTTTGCCAACTCTGTTATTTACCATATTTTAATGTATGTGGGCGATTGAAGTTCAAAAAAGATTGATTACAACGATATATTATTTACCGTCTAGAATTAATACCGTTCATTAAAATTAAAAACGGTATTGATATAAAACGGTATCGGTATTTTGTTATAATACAAAAAGTCAATAATAGACCCTGAATAGGGCAGATAATCTATACCCAATTTGTAAATGAATGAATGTAATTTTCATATAAATTTATGAGTTACAATATTAACTGTTAATATTAATGTGTAACAAAAACATCCTCCGAGTTATGAAAAACAAATTGCAAGCTGGAACTCTTCTTCGTTATGAATTCTAATGAATGTTAGAGGAAGAGCTACATTCGAATTTTGAATTAATGATTTTTTAGAATTGTCAAAGTTAAAAGGATGGTTTTGTGATTTATTTGAAAGGAAGAACTTAATTAGCTTTACGGCTTTACATTACACTGCAAATGTTTGTAGATGGACTTCTCCTTTTCGACGTTTTTATATAATTATAATAATTTACCATATATATTCTTGATATATAAAAAAACTATTATTAATAATTATTATTGAAGTTGTACCATTATTTATAAGAGATTGGATTAAAAAATAAAATAATGTCATAATTCAACATACAGAAAAAAAAAAGATAAGCGAATTATTCTCAGTCCATTAATCATCATGGCATTTTAGTCATTCAGTTATAGATTTTTTTAACATCTAATGGTAGGGAATCTTTATAATTAGCAAGATGTTTTAAAAAAATTCCAATCTCTTTATTTGAATATTTTTTTTTGGATTTTCTTGGGTGAATATAAGTGGAAGATTGAAAGGAAGTACTAGATGATGCAACAAACGTTTGTGTTTGTGGCATGTTACCGATATTTTCATTTATCCAATCCATTGGTGAATTGTAGCATTACTACGTATGTTTTTCCATTACAATATTCTTATTTCGACTTGTGATTGTTGTTTTGATTTCTGCTTTTTATTTTTTCTTCGTTCATTAAAGTCTGATTGATACCTTATCTTTTACTTGGCCTTTGGCACCTCTTCCTTTTGTAATTCGTTCGTTTTCTCAATCATATAAATATCTTGAGCAAGAAATTTTTTTATGTAATTTTTCAGCCCTTTAGGTGCGTATAATCAAAAATGGGATGATTGTAACCTGGCTTCATAAATTTATCATCAAAATCCACATCTCCTGGCTGCTGCTATTTTTTATCACATGATCATGTAAATATGATACTTTATCAGGAATGAATTCATCAAGGGTTTTTAATTGATCAATTTCATCTTGGCTTACTTTTATTTGTAGTTGAAAATTTGTTTCGTCTCCCAGTTCTCCTATCATTGTTTGTTTAATAAAATTCACACCAGAGGTCTTGAGGGCTTCACACATTCAAAATATTGTCTGCTTCAGACACACATCATTAGCTGATGGTGGTGATGATTTTGTTGGTGCGATATCAATATCAATATCATCAACCAAAGATTTGAGTTTTTTTTACCTTAAATTCAGATTCATTGTCTTTCTTTTATTTTCAAATTGTCCGTCATAAGTTTTTGTAATTTTGACTATTACGGATGTAGCGTTCGCGCATTTTATAACAAGACTGCCACAATTTCGAAAATTCATTATAAGCTGATCACAACGCTTCAAGTTTTGAATTTGATGCACACGTTTCCTCAAATATTTTTAAACTCTTTAAAATTTCCCATTTGTAATTCTAACAATAAACAAAATATCAACAATACAAGTAAAAATAATTATTACAAACAATAAACCCACTCGACAGATTAATTGAAATTTTGAAGAAAAATTTTTTTTCTTCATTTCAACTTTTCATACCAAAAAAAAAGATTTTTTTTGACTATATACACCTTCTACATAGATACTAAGTTCAATTAGCAAAATGCTAAAGCCAACGTTTTTGAAATAAATTTTTTTGATATGCAATCATGTTAACATTAGGAAAATAAACCTTACGTAAGCCTACTACGTAGGGTTCAGAATTTTGTCAAGATTTTGGTAATTCTGTTAATAATTCCGTATAATGCTGGTCAATTTTAAACCTACGTAGGTTTACGTGAGATTTATTTTCTTGATGAATTGATACATTAATACGAGGTTTCCTTATTCATAAACATAAGCCACAAGAGAATCGCAGGGTTAAGATTTTAAGTAACCAATTACATAATAGCGATTCTCAATAACGTAATCGTGAGCAAAAAAAAAAAGATATAATGTGTGTATCAATAAACACTGTTAATTCCACCATCACCACCATTAACATCAATAATTACCAGAATATATTTGATATTTCGATTCCGAGAACTTTCATAGCAAATCTAATTCGAAAAATCTTAAATATTTGTTGTATTTGTTGGATCTTCTAGTAATATAATATACATTGCCACAGGAATTATTATTGATGATGATGTTAATTCATAAACTATTATTGGTGTAAAGCATTCCCATTATTATTAATTAATCCGTAGATTTATTAATGGGCGTCCTTAGAAATTCTCATATATCAAAAAACTTATTATATTTGGAACAGTAATTATTTATCTCTTGCTTTCTTTTTTTTTTCTTTTTCATTGATTAATGAATAAAGCTGTTGAAGAAATAAAGATTAGTGCTGAAATTATTTGCTCTGTACTGGCAATCTCTTCAGGAATAATTTTTTCGTGAATAAAACTTTTTTTTATACAAGGTGATTTACAGCTTTAAAACCTTTGTAAATGAGCAACCTGTTAAGAAAATGCGCCACTCTTGGAACAGCGCAAATGTTTTCATCTCTTAAATGCTTCTTGAAACTATCAATCAATCAGCCATATCTGATCACCTGGTTTTATTTAATAGGTATTTTTCAAAGCTAGAAGGCCAGAATTGTAGCTACCTGTGTCTCTCTATGAATCATTATTTTTTAGCTTTGATTTTAGATTAAAATATATTATATATAACATGCTGCAGCCAAAACCAAGAGTAAACATTAAATTAGGCCCATGATTTGAATCTCTGGTGAAAGTCTCAACAGACAGATTTATAACATTTCTGTTGGTAAGAATGCATTGATTGAGTTAATCGATTCAAATTTCTCCCTTGGCTTGGTAATTTGCGAACTTTAGCATGATTTTCAAGAAAATTCTTAACTACCTCTGTAACATTTTTATCAATTGTCATCTTGATTTTCCATTAAGGCATTCTTTTAGTATTACCATGGACACATAAGACCATTGCCTATCGAATGATTTCAAAATAAATAAAAGACGATCTACCGGTAGAAGACCAAAACTGTGGTCCTGTTTATTATTTTTATTTATTTATTTAATTTGTCAATTTCATTAATTATTGATGCTCTACTGGTGCAGAAGATAGTAAAACCTGGTTGTAGTTTAGGGAAAGTCTATAAATACAATTGAACTTTCAATCAGCAAAAGAATAATTCAGTCATGAATCAAATAAATTCATGATTAAAGAACTGCTTGTTCCATGAATTATATGCTCAGGAAATAATAAAGAGTAAATTTTTTTTAATTTATTTCGTGGTACAGGTGTTTTTTGACAAAGAGGTATATTATGATCTTGGTAGTAGAGCATTCTTTTATTGATTCGAGATTTCTTCTCGAGACACATGCCTGTATATTGCTTTGCCATTAAGAAAATATCTTGTTCCGACTTAGAAGGTTCACATAATTATGAAACCTCTTTATTGGAATATATCAAAATTTTTTTGCAAATAATTGACCATAACTCTTTCCAAATGCGAAAAAAGCATGAATAAAACGTCACATTATACTTTAATGGGTTGTTTAACAGTTTAGGATCCACATGTTGGGATAATGAATTCTTTATTGCCAATAATATTTAAACTATACATATCCCTCAAGACATATGTATCTATTTACCTGTATGAAACGCATCAATGGAACCAGAGTTTGACACTCATATGAAATTATGAAGCTATTTCCTCAAATAATAATTATTATTATTATTAACTCTATTTATTATATTTTTGATAACATTAAAGCCTGCTATACGAAATTTATAATAATTATAATGTATGTATGAATTAATTAATTAATACCTGTTAAATATATTTGAATTATTAATTCAAAAAATGGCATCCTCGGTGTTGCTGGGTAGGCATACATAGTATTTATAAATACACGCATATTATGTGTAATTTTGAAAGTATATAATAAGCCTCGCCAAATTAAATTTAAAATGACAAAACGTCCCACTTTAATTATAAATCTTGTTCCAGTAGGTGAAATAAAGCTGCATTCACATTATGGGCTAAATGCAAGAGAATGGAAAGTAAAAGTGAGATACAGCTAAATTGATTTACTACTCATTATTATTATTATTTATTAATATTGTTATTATTTAGAAAATATAAATTATTTGTATTAGATACACTGGCAAAAAAATCAAATTTGACTTACAGTAAACGTTTGTTAAGATGCATAATTTTAGTCAATAAAGGCCAAACTTTTGATCAAACTGTACACTTTAACAAATGTTTAACTATTGTTAAATTTATTTTTTTTTACCAGTGATAGAAATTCAACACCAAAACATTCTGGTTGACATTGCTGTAATGAGACTACCGTTAATAATAAATTATAAAAGATGTGTATATAACATTTTATTAATTAAATTTTTTCTTTTCCAAAAAAAAAAAAGGATCTACGGTAAACGATAAAGTGGCGTACGATCAGAAAAATTGTTACGCGACTATTATTACTATTATCATTATCATTATTAAATTTTTTCTTTGTAAATTTATTGTCATGATTATTATTTATTTAAAAAGTAGAAATTAAAATATCTATTTAGTTTAACAAATAAACAAATAAATAGCAAAATAAACAACTTTTGTTGCTTTTCCCAAGTGAAATAATTATAAGTGAATTTATTCAAATATTAATATTGTGGTTTTATACCCACAATCCCGAATCGGTCTTAAAGTTGTGACTATCGAAAGTTGAAGATATACTTTCTCAATAAAAAAGAAAATTATAATGATATATAATGTTTTTTATTATATAGAGGATACTGCATAATAATAAATTTATTAATATATTTTTATCCATTTACTATTATGGTAAGTTTTTTAGGAGTAATTCTTTTTGGAAATTACAATAAAAAGAACTATATATATACACAAAAAATAAGGATAGTTACACGTAGATTTTTACCAATCTGTGTATATTACATTACGAACTTGTAAATTTTATTATTATTATATAGCATAATAAAATATTACATTTTTCCTTCTAAATTTAGATTTTTTAAAAATCATGGTTTTAACTTAGAAATATACACATTTTTTTGTTATGTAAAATAATAGTATTATATTCAGGGGCCATGTTACAATTAGAAAATACTTTTATTCTTCGATATCCGGTCTAAAACCGCTAGTGTTCCTATTCGAGTATCAGAAATCGAAATTATTAGTATTAGCATATTCGAATGGTGTTTGGATAATTTTTATATTAATTTATATCCGTAATATTTTCGAATATCCGTAATAGTAATACTTTGGAACATTTGTAATGATTAAATTGATAAATTTCCTCAATAAAAATATCTTCAATAAATGATGGCATTATTTTAACTAATGATGAAGAAGAAACAAATTCTAATTTTCGTCATCAATGATAGATTATGTAGATCATCAGATAAAAAACATAAAACTTTGATGAAACATGGAAAACTTGGAGAAAGCTATATTTGGGATCATTTTATTGTGAAAAAGGAGATGAACGAGTTTGCCAAGCAGGGGTACCTGTTTCTCTAGAACATCCGAATGGTTTATCTAGAAACACTAGCAATTTAATAAATCATTTATTAAAATCTCACAATATACTCCCACACAAAAAGTTACTTTTATTTCTCAAATATCATGTTATTTCATTCTAACGGTTGGATCAGAAGGACAATTGATGATGATGTCGACAAAATGAAATATCAAAAAAGGTGTCGATCTACTAATAGGGTGAAAAGAAATGAGAAAATTTTCCCCTATTAGCAAAATTAGCTAGAAAATATCTGTTCCTGCAGAACGGTTCTTTAGTGATTCCGGAAACCGTATTACGCCAATTAAAACCTGGCAGAGTAGAAAGGTTATTATTAATAAAAGAATAAAAGTATATATAAAGTAAAAGTATTACGAATGAATGTATGTACATTTACACAAAATTTTGAATATTTGAACATAAATAAAGAAAACGGGGGTTTACTTTTTATTTATTTATTTATTTGTGTAAATTTATTTAATTATTCTCTATGGTGCACATCATCCAAAGAGAACAACACTAAAATTGACGATCCTTGGAAACCAATAACTCTACAAAATTTTACGATACTGAAAAAAGTAAACCCATGAAATTAGAGCTAAAGACCTAGGTTTCATTTCTATCAGTTTACTTTTTTTGTTATTCAAAGTTGAGGTATTTTATATATGCTTATATGTAAATTTAAAATTTCAGGCACTCTTTTTATTGACCAATTTACTTTTTAATCATTCTGATTTGTCGTAAAATCACGCGATAATATTTTTGGAAACGCAATTTTAAAATTTTATTCCTTAAAATTATTATATATATTGTATCGAAAATAAAATAAAATTTGTATTTAATCCAACTTTATCATATCTTTATAATGGGTCGTATTTCTAAAGTATTGAAATCAAGAGAGAACTTCTAATTGAATGGTTATCATTATTAGAAATGAATTTGACAAGATACGTTCTTTGATTTTTATAATTTCGGACTCTGACGCAGTCATAACGTGCACATATTAAAATTAAAAATTGTCGGCAATGATATTTTTATTATTATTTCTGTATTAGTAGTATTTACACCGTAAAGTCCGAAATATGGCACATCTCCTCCTACTTTCGAAACTGTTACACGATTGTAAGAAGGAGGCACATTATTATTTGTGATATTTTTTTTATTTTTTTCTAAATAAGAAAGTTGCTATGATATATGTATACTGTAAGAAAAGGCCATTTATGAATTCAGTTCAAATTTAGACTGCATTTTACCTAAGGGGTAATGTTAGTATTATGTATAAAAACTCTAAAATAATCCTTAATTAAAAAAAAAATAAATTAAAATATAAAAATTCTCCAAAGAATTGTTGGCATAAACTTTATAATCACTATTACATTTTATAAAGATGGTGAAAATCATCACCATCTTTATTTTCATCACTTATTATTGTATGGCCTTGATCGCGACAGAATTTAGTATGTTTTACTTGTTTATAAAATATGTAGATTAAAATTTAGTCCATTTACATGATTACCGCATTCCAAAACTAACAATATCTAATAACTTATTTAAAAAATAGATATAACAATTAACGTACCTCAAAGTCCAGTTTATACTGGTTCAAATATAACAATCACTTGGGGGTTTTCAGGCATACAAGATGAACGCATAGAGTTAGGACTTATAATCGCGCAGCGGATACCTAAAATAATGGCGGTAATAAACCCTGACGTGGATCTTACAAAACAATGTCAAAATTGGGTGGTGGCCACCGTGCCGTCCGGAGTTTATAAACTTTACGCGAGAAATTATTCTAATGTCTTTAAAACTTCGGACCCGTTTTCAATTTATACTGTAAGCTCTACTCAAATCAGTCCGAATACACCCACTTCCACAACCACGACCACGACTACGACCACGACCACATCTACACCCACACCTACACACACAACTACAACTACATCCAAATCTGATGGAAATACCGAAGAAAACTCAATCCGAAATACTGTAATTGGGTCAGTGATTATAGGCATTACGAGTATAGTGGCCGCAGCAATAACCACAAGATATATTGTTTGTAAATGTCGCAGAGGACGAGTTCAACATGATGTGGAGGCCCCGTAAAAACCTGATCTGATTTAAAATTCCAGAAATCATATTCATGGAAAAATCACAGAAATATTACAGGGAAAAGACAGACTTTGCCACTGTTACAAATTTGTGGAAATTTTCACGAGTATTCTGGAATTAAAATTCATATAGTGGATTATTTTTTATAGGGCAGTGGTGGAAAAATATCAACCTACCACCATTTGTATATTATTTTTTTAGTCATATTTAACGATTAATTATCGGACTTTTTTTAATAAATAGATTATCATAAACCCACACTATTATTATTGTAATGCTTTTCGTATCAATCATATTAATTAATAAAGGTTGGAACCGATCAAAAAACCTTAACCGGTTAAGTATTTAACAAATATTGATATTTGTCAAAAATATAAACGGAAATTAATATCAATCAAATCAAAAGCGCACAATTATAATAATAAAATGTGGTTTATATAAAAAATATAATTTCATAAATGTATGTTATTTGATGAGTCTATGCAGGTTCCGTATTCTGTACATTTACGCTTCCGTACTAAATTATGCTCTGTACGAAACAAAAAAGGATAGTGTACATACTAATACTGGCCTCCACCAATTACAATCAAATTTTAAAAAATACGAGTCCGTATTCCATACATACTAATAATACCAATACTAATTATAATACGAAATCTACGGATCAAAATCAATAGTAATAATAATAGTGCACGGAATTACAAAGTGTACAGAATCTTTACTACCCTGTAAAAAATGACACTCCAGAATACTTTCATTATATCTCCGTGATCATGTTTATCACTCCGTAAATGTTCAGTTTATTTCATAAAAGCAGCAACCAGTGAGTAAGCAATCTGGATTTTTTCCATGATGTCATTTATATTAATATAGGGACATTTGTAGAGATTAAGATTTTTATAGTTCTGTAATATTAAATAACTGATAAACTCGCAAATAAAAATGGACACTATTATTATTATTATTATTATTAATTAACTAGTCGCGTGACATTTCCAGCAGGTTGTAAAAATAGTAAAATTGGCATCATAGTAAACTTTGTGTTTGACGCGTCCAATTGCAAATAGAAATAAATGTAAATAATTATATATTTATAATATTTATACATTTTAAAGTTTTTCTTTTACATTTTATTCTACATAAATAATAACGATTAAAATAATTAGATAATATGAGCAAGCAACAATAATATACAAATTGATAAAAAAAGATAAGAGAAATGTAAAGAGATATTTAATAATATTGATAAAATGCATCAACGAATTGTGATTTAAAATGGATATTAAACAACATTATTACATATTAACTATAAATAAGTTTTGAATACGATGTACAATAGAATTCAGGCTTTCTTTTGAATTTAAGATCACTCAATTCAATCAAGTACTTAGCGAGATACGAAATATATGGAAATAGGTAAAGAACTATTGCATTTTGAATTTTAAATACTTATATGGCATTTTCAAATAAGCATCATAATCAAATCCGCCTATCATACAACTAGATAAACATTCATCAAGTATATTTTACAAAACTTGCTTCTCATCTAGTGTTAGTTAATTAGTTTTAAAGAGACTCACAAAAAAACAGTTTTATAAACCCAAGTAATGGTAACATGTTTTTTTTTAATATTTACTTTTGTATCTATTTTTATATTAATATTTTTATATATATTTAGGAATGCAATAATTAAATTAAGATGTATTTACATGATTTCTTTTTCCAAAGGTCATGGTTAAATGAAATCAGAAAGAATTGTTATGTGACCATATTTATTTATTATTGATAATGATATATTCTTGTAATAACAATTTTTTAGACCTGGTGGTGTACAATCAGAAAAAATTGTTACGAGATCATATTTTATTTATTATTAATCAATTATTATAGAAAACAGGTAGAAAATTCAACATCAAAGATACTAGCTGATATATTCTTGTAATAAAAATTATACTATTAATTATTAATCGCTTTTTGGATCTGATGGCTTACAAGCAGAAAGAATTGTTACGCGACAATATTTTATTTATTATTAATTATTTTAGAGAACAGGTAGAAAATTCAACATCAAAGATTCTAGTTGATATATTCTTGTAATAACAATTATTAATTATTAATCTGGTGGCGCAAAACCAGAAAGAATCATTACGCGACAATTAAATTAGTTATTATTATTATTATATCATTTATATTATATATGACTACTATTATTATTCTTATTGTTTTAAATCTTTAATTTAATTTTTTCTATATATTTTAGAAAGGGAACATGCAAACCAGTTTGCAATAATATTTCTATTTATTTATGCTTTCAACTTTAAAAATTTTTTTTCTAATACTGTACATTACTTTCAAGTCAATTACAAACTATGTTCAGAAATATGGAAAAATTCAAACAGAACATGGACTGGTGATTAACAAAGTTGTCAAATTTCAAGGGTAATGTGCACGTGTTACAGTATGTACATTCCAATCAACAATTTACCATTTTATCACGTTAGTAATATTTAAAGATAGGAATCGCAATTAGCTGCAATTAATTGCAACTAATCGCAATTAATTGAGGAGCCATCTTTGGTAGACCACTTGAAAATTTATTTATTAATTAAATTTTATTCAATAATTTATCCGAACTTTATCCATTTTATTAATTAATTATTAGCAATTATTCAGTTATTTACTCGAAATTTATCCATTTTATTAATTAAATATTTATGGAAAAAACACAGTAATGTATATTTATTAATATGGACGGAAAACACCGAGTTTAATAACGAAAACACTGCAGAGTAAATTTTTTAGAAATGTATTCAATTCTAATATTTGAGATATTTTTGTATCATATTGGAGGTGGTTCGTTGCCATAAATGAACTCGTAGATGTCAGTGTGATTGTGGTTGAGTGTGTTAAAGAGTTTTGAGTTTTGATGTTTATGGGTATTCAAGTCTTCCATGATTATAGTTGACAATTGACCTTTTACTATTGTTAATTAACTTAATTAATTTATTTTCTATTTGTGACCTTGCTTGTTTGTTTTACATGGTTGGTATATATGTTTGAATTGATCTTAACTTTTTTGTTTTGAACATTAAGTCTATGTATGTTATGTTTTGACCTGTCTATGTAGCTCACTTTTGTAATGTGTTTTCTATTAGTTGGTTTGTAATAATGTTTGTACCATTGCTTCTCTTGGAATTTTTGTTCGAACATTCCAATAGCTAAATAATTCACAATCTTGATGTATTTTGTATTTGTAGTTTCTGTGTTCATTATTGGTCAGATGTGTTTCACTAAGACCAATTATATCAATATTGTCAGATTCTATCTCAAAAAGGTCAGCAATTTCTAAGATTTTTGTGTGGTTGGTTAACCATTACAGTGATGTATAAGATGGTCATGGAGTATGTGTTATTTTTATTTTTATTCATAGAGAAGTTTATCGTTTTTGGGTTGTCTCATGTTGATGATTATCGAATGCTATTTTTTATGATGAACGAATTTCTTTTAATATGTCATTCATAGTTTCTTGAAGTTTATTTGGTTTCTCTTTTATATCATTGATTTCTTCTTCTTCATTATGAATTCTACTTAAAGCACCGAACTTTTCAGAGCTTTAGGCTAAAAACTACTTGGTGGTTCTTGGTATTCTGATTTTACACCCTGCTTATTTATAATTGAATTTATTAATTTCTAATTTAATAACAACCAGCGGACGAGTTTTTTCTGGACGCAAAGACTTAATTACTCAAAAGCGTTGTATTTTAGAAACCTGAAACAATAAGAGTTTAAAAGTTTGCGGAGACGATAAATTTTATATATGAATTAAAAAAAATAGAACGTCCTTAGGATTTCTATTCGAATTATTTGTTTCATTCGTTATGAATATTCAAATTAAATTTAAAGCTTAGTCGAATGAAACGATTGAAGCAAATAAACGAATGAAACGAGTGAAACAAATAAAATGAATAATTCGAATAAAATGAACAAGACGAATAAAACGAATAAAAGTGAATAACGAACAATTAGAATAATTAGAATTTGTATTACGGATAGAAACTCTAAATGTACAAATTTTTGTGATGAATCTATGAATATGTAAACGATCCGACCAGCTTTATCTAAACATGGCATAAAATTCAATCACGACCTCCATTATAATTTTGGTAAGAAATGGACCATCGTTACCATCGTATAAAAATTAGATTATGTATGTATTTAGAAACAGTTCCTTCCAGCATCTCTACTTCACAACATATTCGCTAAAACTAAGCTACATTTTATTATAATTTTTTTAAGTTTATATTTTGCGTAATTAACGAATTTAGAATGTCTGGAATTTTTGGGTCAAATGTAAACTGAAAAACCGAACCGTTTCGGAGCTTTAATTTGTACTTTAATTACTGGAAATATCGTGTAATCTTTTGAGAAGTTTCATTATTTTGGTTTTTAAATGGTACATGTTTGGTTATATTGCATTATGTAGCATGTTTAAGATTCTTTGTTTGGTTATGGTTAGACGATGAATTGACTTTCCTTATGCTAATTTTTTCTTCAATTATATTTATCCTGTTGGTTAATTTTGACTCTAGATTGCTAAATAATTGTTGCAGTTGGATACATATTACTTTACCGACAATCATTTTACCGACAACACGCGGCGCGCCATTTTTAGCAATTTAAATGGCGCACCATATGTTGTCGGTAAAATTAATGCCTCCCCAGCTATCATATGGCCTGGGGAACCACATTTGTGACATATTTTCTGGTCTTCTAATGCCCAGAAAATCTCATTACCTAAGGAAGTTGAACATGCTTCCTGCATTTCCTTTTCACTTTCAAAGGAAACATAGGCATATCTCTCTTTTATAATAAGAGCGTGTACAAGGAACGAAACAAGCTTTTGCATTAACAGCTAATATTATATCTTTCAAATCGAAAGCTGTTGTTCCATAAGGGAGTTTGTTAGTTTAAGAATGTGGCTGTTTCCATCACCATGTTCTTCATGAGTTAATGTAAGGGGGTAAATTCTAAGCCCTATAAAAAACTATTGACGGAAAATGTACATCCGCATGCCTTGCCGCAGCTGCTTTATAACATGGCGCATTACCTTCTTAATACACCACCACCACCACCACACATCTTTACTTAATCCATTACTAAAAGGTAGCTTTGCAATTGCAATTTAAAGTTTTACGATTTTTTTTTAATGATTTTCAAAATTGAAAACTTCAATCCGTTTAGTATTTTTGTCCATAAATTGAGAAATAATATGGCAAACTTGTGAAATTCTGAAAATAACTAATTTCAAACATGAGACACATTTTTTACTTATACCACCACAATGGTCATTAGAACTTGCTATTGTGGTCAATTTTCGAGTCAAACATTTTTCAGAAAGCTCCGAAATTCATTTTTATCTTTTAAGGTTTGTTTTTATTTATATATTTATATGCAGTATATCATACATAGTATTTGATATGATGAATAATTTTTGCTTAATAAGGTGTGATTGGGATAGTAAAATTTTTTAGTTTTTGTCATGTCTATTATTTTCGATGATTTGTGTTTCATTTGTAACATAAAAAAAAATTTATTTGCCTATATTTAGACATTAACTACTGTATTTAGACTTTTTAAATGGAGTTTATTAATAAGAACAGAACCGTTCTGGGAGCACAAAATTTTAATTTGTTGATTGACCAATTAAAATTGTGAATTTGATAACGTAGAAATAAATATGAATTCATTTTGTCAACAATCACTTCACCAACAATTGTTTCCTTAACAAGTCGAAAGCAACCATTGAAATAGTCGAATAAATTAACCTTAATATGATGAATGTCAATGAAACACAACAAATTTAAAATACGAAAAATGAACAATGTATGAAAAATCAAGCAAATTTATTTAATAAAAATAAAATTTACAACCAAAAAATTTTTTTTGCATGTTCTAATAAAATTTCCATTGTTGCTGCATCATTTGTTGCTGATTCAACATTACCCGAATCATCATCAACTGTATTTTCGTTATTTTCGATAAATTGATTTTCATTTAATATTTTCATCATACTTTCTTTTAGTGTGTTGATATTTTTTTTGATTTCGACTTGAAGGTAGTCCAAGATATCAACATTTAGATTGACACCTTTCTAGATAATGATTGTGATAACATGAGTACACTATAATTATTCAAATTAGTATAATTAGTGAATCACAATATACGTAATTGCAAAAAATGTTTGTAGATGGTTTTCTAGAAATAACAAAGTTTTAGTAATTAAAGGATACCAATTTTGTGCTTGATATACTGATAGTATCAGATTGTCTCTGGATGTGAATCTATGATAATCGTCAACATTCAACATGAATGTGCTTTTTGTAAGTGCATTCTCTACATATTTCTCATGTTCATCTGCAACTTGCTTCTTTTTACGATCTACTGCTCTTGATGTTGTAGTTACTCCAAGACTTGTATCTACCAAGTCTAAATAGCAAGGTCGAATTTAAAAGAGTTAATTTTTGTGTTATTTAATAAAACAAGAAGATAACACATGAACATCACCATTAATCTCTTCATATGGTCCATTATTTGTTCATTACATTCAAATGGCCGAGCTGCTAAATAAAGTTGGTCAAAAAACCCTTCAAGCTTGGTTCTATTTCTTGGAGCAATCTTCGTATTTCATCAAAGTCGTATATAGGACCTTGATGGCTCTAGTGAAATCAATCTTTTCAGTTACCTCTTCCTCCTCTTCCCCTTCCCCTTCCGCATCTGTGGTTTTTACTCCCCTATTTTCTCTTTTTAAAAGATTTTCTACAAAATTCATATAACGAATGTTACATAAAACAACACGTTACTTTTACTAAGTTGTTGTTCTCAGCCTCTTTCCATTTATTGCCTTTCAGTTGACGAAATTTAGCTGATTTAATGGTTTTACATTCTGTGCAACGTTTAATTTCAGACATTTTTTCTTCGAGTAAATCGTATTATGAAAGTTGTGGGATTCAAATTTGTGTAATTAATTTACACATGATTTATTACAAAAATGGGTTACGTAATACCCTTGTAAAAGTATTTTAAACTGTATTAAAAAAATTGTGAAAATCCATTAGGACCCCGGACAATTATAATTGAACTGGTATTGACAAAAAGGAAACTCACTAGCAAGACATTCTGAGTATTTTTCACAACTTTTTATATGTTTTCTTACATACCAGTTCAAATATGATTGTCCGAGGTCCTAATCCATTCCTTATATAGGACGTCTCTCCTGTTATGAAGTCAAAATATAATCAAATTACGATTATTAGAATAGCTGATAGTAATAGTATATGCACATTGCTAATCCCATCAAAATAAATTTTTTCCCTTCAGTTCTATTATTTTCCTTGTAGTGATAATTACTTGTTTATTTTTTTTTTAATTAATTCTGATTAAACAAAAAATAACAGATTCTCGCCGCAGAAATTCATCGCGGGAGGGGTGTAACGTTACACGTCCAGCCTGCACACATTTTTTTAGAAATTTTTAAATTTATAACAAGTAATTTTTTTAATAACTAGGCCCTTGTTCTAACCAAGTTTGGCTAATAAACGTTCTGAAGAGAACATCTTAAATTTCAAGATACAATGAGATTACTATATAACTAGTTAATTTTTATTATATAAACAAACGAACACATCAACTTTTTGTTTTTATAATATATTAATGAATATTGTAGTTCCATTAATAAAAATTGAGATCCAGTTTCGATTTCCTTTCAAATTCGATAAAATAAATAAATACAAAAAAAAAAAAACGTTAAAATAGAAATTTAATTAGTGTAAAAATAATTCTTCTAAAATAAATTCGACAATTATTAGCTATAAAATTTATAATTAATATTTTATTTTGTGGATATGGTTGATTTCGCAAAGCTCTTGACCTTTATTCTCATCACTGGCCATTATTATATAACCTTTGTTACAGCAATATTTGGTATGTATTACTTATTTGCAAGATATGTAGTCTAAAATTTAAATCATTTACATGATTCAAAACTAACCCGTAATATTTAATGTTTAATGATATTATTTATTTAAAAAATAGATATAATAATTAACGTACCTCAAAATCCAGTTTACACGGGTTCCAACGTAACAGTCACTTGGGGGTTTTCAGGCATACAAGATAAACATATAGAGTTAGGGCTTGCAACTGCACAACGGCCATATAAAATAATAGTGGTAATAAATCCCGACGTGGATCTTACAACAAAAAGTCAGAATTGGGTGGTGGATACTGTGCCAAATGGTATTTATAAATTTTACACAAGGTGTCGTTCTAATTTCTTTAAGACTTCGGGTCCGTTTTCGATTTATACTACAAGCTCTACTCAAACCGGATTGTATACAAGAACACCTGATACACCTAATTCTGGTGGAGATACTGAAGATAACTCAACTCGAAATACTATAATTGGGTCAGTGGTCGGAGGTATTGCCACTATAATAGGTGCAGTAATAGGTGCAGCAATAACTGCAAAACTTATTTGCGAAAGTTGTAGATGTTGTAGAGATAATTTATCACAAAATGGTGATCTCGAAAGTGGTGGAAATGATAGCAGACATAACGGTGGGGAAATCTCCCAAGATTCTAATAACAATTAATATTTTTTTTTTTTCAATCATATTTATAATATAGATATCATTATTATATACTACTGCTATTATTATTTTATTAGTATAATTATTATTAATATTATCATTGTTGTTGTTATTTATTATTGTTGTTATTATAGTATCTCACTTTTAATTGTTCGAATAGAACAAATAATTCGAATAGAACGAATAATTCGAATAGAACGAATAATTCGAATAGAACGAATAATTCGAATAGAACGAGTAATTCGAATAGAACGAGTAATTCGAATAGAACGAGTAATTCGAATAGGACGAATAATTCGAATAGGACGAATAATTCGAATAGGACGAATAATTCGAATAGGACGAATAATTGGAATAGAACGAATAATTGGAATAGAACGAATAATTGGAATAGAACGAATAATTGGAATAGAACGAATAATTCGAATAGAACGAGTAATTCGAATAGAACGAATAATTCGAATAGAACGAATAATTCGAATAGAACGAATAATTCGCATAGAACGAATAATAATAATTCGAATTAAAATAAGAATATGTATTAAAAATAGAAACTCTATAATTTTTATCCTGCTATGATGTATTTTGTTTTATGAGCCAATGTATTTTTTTTTGTCATTCTAAGTAATACAGGTGACCCATCTCAACTAAATAAATGTCTATGTCACTGAATTCTGCACTAAAATTCCAGATGTAAAAATGAATATTAAGAGAAAATTTTTTTTAGCCGGCTAAGCTGTTTAAAAATTCCTTAGCCGGCTAATATCACTAATAATCATGTACTTTGTCTGGTTCTGAGAGTGTGATTATATAGAGAAGCCTGACTATAGTTAAAGATTCTATTCGATTTGTGAATACAGAGAGTACTCAAGCCTTCATCAAAGGTTGTCCAGAGATAGTGACAGTAACAACAACTAGCATATCTCTTGTTTTTCTATATTAATATAATAGATAATTAGTCAACTATACATTTGCTAATTTTACTCACTGCCAACGGAATTCTTTATTTTAATACAATCATTATGTCATGGTAGCTTTGCCAAAAGTGTACGATGATTTCATTCAATGATTCAAATTTAAACTTTACTGATATTCTGAAAGATGTAAATATCTTCGATCACATTTTAAGCGTTCATTCAGACAATTGTAACAGCCCGCCCAGTCGATGAATCTGGAATGGAAATGAAAGTGATAATGTTATGAGCGAGATGAAGAAATTATCAGTCTTTTTATTAAAAAATTTAAATTATTGTGTGATAAACATTAATTAAATTTGCATTGTAGTTAATTTAATTCGTGTGTCTGTTTTGTTACTTTGATTTAACTTAAATTTCGATGAATGTGTTGTATTCTATTTCCTTTTTGATAAAGTCTCCGACCTTATTATGTAAAACTATTATCGTTTATTATAACGCTAACTTTAGTGTAATATTATTACTAAGATTTTTTATATCCTTTGGCATATTATTTATCAATAGGCGGATTTTATACAGCCAGCTGTACTACAATCGCCGAGCAATACATCTCAAGTGCTTGTTAACGACCTAGTTATTTTCCCTTACTTTGATAATACGTTTAATACCTTTGCGAGTGACTAATGCCACTTTTAAATTTGAATCATATACAGTGTGGCACATTCAATTCCGGAATTAAAAGATTGTTCATTATTTCACAACCAATGATCAAAATCACATGAAATTTTAGTATATGAAAGTTGGAAAATAAATGAAAATTCTTTATTATTGTAATTTTTTTTAATAATGGATACGTTCTCCATTTTTTTCAATTATAAGTTCACAACGCTGTTTCATTGAATCCACTAAATTACTAAGAGTGGAATTTGGA